GAAACTGGCCAGTGACTCACTCTCTCTTCCGATCAGAAATTAGTCATGTTTGACAACAAATAATTCTAAACTAAACCAAATATGGCACAGCTGTGTAGTAGCTACATTATTTGTAATCATGTCGCTTTGCTGGAAACATAGGTAAGGTAACACAATATAAAATAAATAGTGTCCGACCGAATGTTCGGTTTCGGTTTCGTTTTCGGTTGAGTTTCGGTAAAAACACGAGTTTCGGTTTAGTTTCGTTTTCGGCGGCAAACTTGCCGAAACTACGACCGAAACCGAATGTGCATTCGGGAGTTTCCGTGCTGTTATTGGTCATGTTCGGCGCGTTTAATGAGTGAATGAATCCGATCAGAGCCAATGTCGTGATTCGCTCGCTTGTTTGTTTGTTAGTTTAGTGTAGTTTTGTTTTGTTGTGGTGGCGAGTTTTTGAGTGATTTATTCTGAATTTGGTAAGTTTTATCTCGTTTTATGTTGTTATAACATAAGAGCGGGTAGTAAACTTCAAAAAAAATATTCAATACTAGCGGCCGCCCGCGACTTCGTACGCGTAGATCCCGTTTTACCCCCTTCATCTATCTTACGCGGTTTAGATTTTTTCATACAAATTTTTTTTCCCGCTAACTCCAGTTCCCGTGGGAATTTTGCAATATCCTGTTGTAACTAAGATTTAAGTTTACTAAGGTACCTGCATGCCAAATTTCAAGCGTCTAACTTAAGCAGCTTAGATTTTTCATACAAAAGGATTTTCCCGCTAATTCCCGTTCCCGTGGGAATTCCGAAGTACCTATACTATAACCTGCCCAGGAGTATGAAGAATAATTGTACCAAGTTTCGTTAAAATCCGTCTAGTAGTTTTTGTTTCTATAAGGAACATACATACAGACAGACAGACAGACAAAAATTTTACTGATTGCATTTTTGGCATCAGTATTGATCACTAATCACCCCCTCATTTTGAAAATATATTTCATGTACAGAATTGACCTCTCTACAGATTTATTACAAGTAACATATAGATGACTGATAAAAGTATAATCAAGTTTAATCTAACCTATAATTTTTTTTTTGGTTCGCAAATGCTTTACGTAAACAAACATTAGTTAGGTAGTTAGTAATGACTATAGTGCATTTCATGGTGATAATATTATGGATTCAGAGTTTCAAAGTTCATTTTAGTATTTATCACCAAGTGACAAGTACAGTAGATACTAACTTACGTACTACCAATTTTGTTTTGAGAAATTATTATTAAGGTAAAAACCCGACCATGGGACGGGTTATGTAGATGTCCTGAATATTGCGAGTAATTAAAGAAAATGTAGACTATAATTCCTTCTTTTTCTTTTTTAATACATAATTTGATACCTTTTAGAGTAAAAAGGCGCTTTATAAGTTCAATTTTAATGCAATTTAAAGAGAAAACAATAAAGACTGACTGATTATAATAACGTTTTCTTTATTTTTCCCTCAAAATTTGAGCCTTGTAAGGAAGTTTTGGTTTCGGTTTCGGTTTCGGCCGAAATAGACACCGTTGCCGAAATTCGTTTTCGGTTTCGGTTTCGGTCCTAAAACTAGTTTCGGTCGGACACTAAAAATAAATAAATAAGTACTAAGTTGCATTTGGACTAACATGGCATTACCTACTTTGGGAAAAAGCCCGAATCTAATAGCAATTCTCGAATACAAAAGATTATTTCAAGATAAGTAGGTAGGTACTCAAAGTTAATTCTTGTTATGCACTTAAATAAATATATTAAACTAGCTGACCCGGCGAACTTCGTACCGCCTTAGCGTAGAGATTTTCTTAATATTTTTTTCCGTAAGAACCATCCTTGGACTTCCACAAACATTTAAAAAAAAGAATTATCGAAATCGGTTCAGCCGTTCACACGTGATGCCGTGACAACGCGAAACGGGTTTCATTTTTATATATATAGATTGAATTAAACTTCAAAATTTACGGACGTTGAAAGGTACCTAATTACTCGTATAAGAAAAGTTTTATTATTACCTACTATCTACTTTCTTACACGAACGCTTGATTTTGTAATATTTCATTTAAAAATTACCTACTTACACTGATTTACACATTTGATATAACTAATTACTTACTTATCTAAGTAATTAGTTTGCGTAATTTTTATTATTAATTAATTTCTTTTTATAAAATCAACGCCTGATCGTGGTCATTGTCCTTAAATATCGGAACATGTGTTATTTAAAATTGGAGAAATCCATCGTAAACATGTAATGCAACAATCGTGTTCGTCCATTACCGTCGCGACCGCGTCGTCGCGGCGTCGACCTTGCGCGTTGCCACTACGCGCACTGACATATTTCCTGCCATATAAGGCACTAGCAGACCCTGATTGCGTTTTCACAACTGCAATCAAGTGCAAGTTAAGGTGAATGCACACCTGTCCGCAGCGATATGGAAGACGGCGACGAATTTCTACGGTGATCAGATGCGTCGATGTAGTGCGTAGGTGAGCACCACTCGATACTTCATCAAGTCACTATGAAATTATGAACTATAACACGTGTGGTTTTATCTATTTTATTTTACGTGACTCTATCAGCATCGAAGCCACGTAAGTAAATGCTTTCCCCAGAGTTTACTTATGTGGTTTCTAATGTGACGAAACTGAAAACATTTTTACCGCGAGATTTTCCAAATTGTGTAATCAAACCCAGGACCATTTTCATTTCCCCGCAGTAGACAACCATCATTACTCCATACCTTATAAAAATACAAACAAATAGAGTAGATAATATCAAGCTTGATTACAAGATAGCTACATAGCTTCCGCATAAATAATAAGTCTTACCTAAGCAGGTAGCAGCCCACCCGCATACAACCGCACTTTGAACTCAGTTCAATATTTTACTTTTACTCTAACGTAACTGTAAAAATGAATTAAGAATGATTATGAACGTCGTTATATTTTTCTCCATTCGCAAAATAAATAGATGTACCTACCTAGTATGTGGAATAACGAATCTTACATTTCTGATAACATGCCCATTTGTTTTGAGACAGATCCAGCCAAACATTTTTGCTTTGATGCCAAGTTTCATCAAATACTTAGACATAAGTTTTCAATAACCGCCCACACGAATTGAGTGCTAGGTTGGGTAACATTGGGTGATTAGGTACAGTGGACCACTGTTCCAGCTACCCATTTCCGGTCATGTCGTCTCATTCTATCTATATACTAATATTATAAAGAGGTAAAGTTTGTGTGTTTGTATATTTGTTAAATTGTAAGGGGTAATCTCGAGATCTACTGAACCGATTTCAAAAATTACGCCACATTATTGCTGAATGTCATAGGTTATATAAAAACCCGAAAAAATCCACGCGGGCGAAGCTGCGGGCGGAAAGCTAGTCACAAATAATTTTATGAAAGCGAAAGGAAAAACGGAAATGGGTAGCTGGAACTGTGGCCCATTGTACCTATATACGACTTCATAAAAACCCAGGAAAATATGATAAATGTGTGCCTATTTAAGGGTAAGAATCATGAATACAGATGTTGTCACTGCAACCATATGCTGAAGAACCTTGTAAACTGAGAAAAATATAAAAGATAAGCATTCACGACTTTTCTAAGCGTCCTTGTCCAAGGCCGGCCGGCTTAAGTTGACTCTGAGATGCCAAAATACTTACTGTGTGCCAAAGTTAAGTTAAAAGCTGTGGTTTAAGAACTAGAAAACATAAAAAAAATCTTATATCTGAGTAATTTCGTTTTATTAACATAATATTTAGGTAGAGCTTAATTCTTGCCATTTACAAACCTGGCTATTACAGTACAAAGTCGGCAATATGATCAAAAGCTGCAAAAGCCTCGATTGCAATAATAAGCGGTTCCGAGCATTGATTACAAAGTACGTAGGGATCGTTAAGCGATCGATCATCGTGCTTGACCGTATTTACCAAAAGGATCTAGGTGCTATCTTGTTTTTGCGCAGGCAAAGTAATGCGCAGGGCTGATAAAAATGAGCTTAACTAAATAAACTATCGAAAGTAATGAGAAAGAGATTAAGAGAAAGGAAGGGAAACCCGGTAGTGGAGCGGTGGATTTCTATGAACCCTGGGTCCTAGGTTCGGTTACAGGCTGAAAAGCTGGAGATAAGTGTGACTTTCATCGAGTGACGGCGAGTTGTCGTGTGGACTTGAAACCTGCTTACAGGAATACTTGATTCCACGGAATCCATAAAAACAATAGAACTAAAAATATCTATAATCTATTGATCGAGTTATATCATTTTTTCACGGGACATTGGCACAAATAAACCGTAGAGGTTTGATTGCATTTAATTAAAGAAAAAGAAGATTGCATCTGCCTGTGCTTGAGTCGACCTAACATTGCGAAGTAGCTTCATACAAAATTCAGATTCGTACAAATAACATCCACTTTTCAATGAACTACTCTAGCTGAAATAAATAAATGAGCAACCCTGCGCGGCGACGTTGCGTCGTATGAGTCACTCGGCGCGGCATTCGGTGCACATGTCGTAATTAACCGCTTAATCCGCTGAGGTCGCGGGTTCACACCCGCCATATGCTACCGACTACACCCTTGACATGCTCCAGCATAACCGATTCCAGATATAGCTTGATTAAAAATTAATTGAACACGATCTGGACGTTGGCAATATTCATATTTCGTCACCAGGCGACCAGCCATGGTTGGCGGTAATTAATTCCCAAAAAAACATCATTTTGCATTGCAATTAATTTCGGAACTAGATAGCTTACTGCCAACAAATTGATTTTGATTTCCTTTATAGTGAATAAATAAAATACAAAATAAACTTAATATTAACATTTTATTCCATACATCAAACTATACATTCATACAACTTACAACACTAAGGTCCGATTAAGCATAGTCTTCATCTTCGACTGAATAAGTCAGCAGCAAAATTTATAAGTGAACTTATAAATTTAGGAAAAAGGGTTTTATTCTATCATATATTATTATGTGGTTATGCACATCAAATGGAACTTAAAACGAGATAAATCACTTAAAATCTACGTTTCCTAGGAGTCAAGGAATTATACTAAGTTTATGTCATAAAAATAGTCATTGGATCTTTCTATGGTACTCAGGGGTGGCATTACCGTAGTCTTGCAGGTTCAAAAGAGTGGAGCGGTTTGTAACCACATACTTTAGGAAGTCTTGGATGTGCGTCAACACGTGTTGTAAGGACTTCTCGTCCAACGCAGTGTAAGCTAACATTGGCCCCATTTTTGCAAACAGCCTCAACAGATGAATAGCCCCATATATCTGAGCCATAGGAGTATCAGGGTACTCTTGCAAAATTTCACTGTATTGAGGTCTCTCGAACTTATACAGAAGTTGAGACCCCAGTGTAGCATTAAAATATTCTTTTATGCCTTCAGTTATGTCCAGCAACACAGACTCCTTAGCCTGATTATGAGATTTGCTAGACTTCTTAAAAGCTAAATAATTGTCCACAATTTGTTCTACGGTCAGTTTTGCGGGGAGTATGGCTAACTTCTGCTGCCTTGTGATGACGTCCCAGTCATCCACCAACCACACCTTGAGCTCCTCCGGAATTTTGATTTTCACCTCAACCTTTGCTAGATACTGCTCTTCTGATTCTATCGACAAGTCGAGGCGGCCACGTTTCTTCCTGTGAATGTAACAAATAAAATATTTGAGATTTGGCAGTGATAGTGCAGATAGGAGTGGAGGCAGCGTACCGGAAAACGCAGCGTGGGACGTCCACCCACAAGGTGGATAAAGGTAGCAGGAAGGCGCTGGACGCAGGCCGCTACCAACTGGGTAACATGTATTGGAAAGCATTGGGGGAGGCCTATGTTCAGCAGTGGACGTCCTATGGCTGAGATGATGATGAATGATAGTTCTTTATTTACATTTTTATTCAGGTCAATAACTCAATTTATTTTTAGGCATGAAATAAAGTCTTATTAGACCAAACACTTCCACATACATAAGACTAGAATGGAGATTGCTGGACTGTATTGATCAACAGATGAGAACATATAGAAAAACAAAATCTAGAACTTACTTAGGCTGATCAGAGCCGGAGTCAGCAGGAGTGTCTTTGCTCTGAGTCTTGGTGGCCTTGGCAGGAGTTGGTGTCGTCTCAACTTCTTTACCTGAAAAATATAACATCGAAAATTATACTTTAATGAAGGTAAGCTTGGTGGACAGTTTAGATTTAGAATGACAAGTTATTTGATTTGTGATTGAACTGTGCAAATATTTCACATCAATAGTAAGGGAATAATAATTTGGGCATAGGAAATTAATTTAAAACAAGATTAATTGTTAACAAAATCATAACTTAAAAGTATTTTCAAACTATAGTCTCATGGATGAATCTAAGACAAATACCTCTAATCTCATACAACTATTTACCAGTTTTTAGACTTAATACACTAGTTACGCTATTGTCTATTTCTAATACGTACCAGCAGGAGTAGAAGCTCGAGACTCCTCCCGAGCCGGGGTGGCGCTGGCCGCGGCTTCTGACTTCCGCCCTTTGGCTGGCGCTGGCGGGCAGCATGCACACACGAAGATTAACATCACAAAGGTACAAGGAGGCTAATAATTATAGTTAATCAATATTAAACTCCAAACCAAACTAGAACACTTGCATTAATTAGGACTGAATGCTATGCAATATGAGGAAACTATCAAGTAACTAACACTAACTTATAGGATTTTATTGACATGATGGACTCATTAAGACTAATTAGATGCTTTGCTAATGGTAATACTATTAGTTAATTAATGCGTTTTCAGTCTAATGCTCATTTTGCATACTTATCTATGTTAGTAGTCTATTATTGTCATGCATGAATACGTAAATCATGGTATAGATAACAAGTATGTTACTTTTCTTCGTCTTGGCTGGCTGTGCCGAATGAGCTCGCTGCACTTCTTTCTGGCGTTGTACATTGGCTTCATTGTACTTCAATACTCTGCTTTCTGGAACCCACTCATCCCAGCTGTAATTAAAAGTGATGGTTGTTGTTTAAAATGGCAGTAACATAGGGTTTGTGAGGCCAAGTTAACTGGCATAACCTATGAGTTAGTTAAAATTGTTACGGTCTTATTCTACGATATCTTTGGAAAATTTATAACAAATGCTTACTTCTTGTTCCACCCTGCATAATGAATAAGATACCGAACGTGCTTGTCCTTTGTTACAGAGCTTTTGAGGCATTTTGCTTCGTAAATCAGGGGTCCGTGGAAACACAGTACTTTTTCACCTGAAAAAGATGTTCTATGTTATAAGGGTAGAACGAATAAATTTACAATGAATTCGTAGCAGAAAAATAGCAGTAACAAACTGAAAACTGTAAAAAACAGCAAAAAATACCTTCCGCAAATTTCAGCTTGGGTGCCATATTTATTATTTACTAGTTTGACATTGACAGATTTGACAGCGAGTGACAAGAAAGAACTCAGGACATTTTTTTTCTTTATAGTGATGTGCTTGGTAAGCTAAATCCAAAAGTAATTGAACATTTCATTTGCTTCAGAATATAACTCTAAATTCTACTCAAAAATGTACCCAAATAATAAGAATTCTTAAATAATACTTTTATCCTATGCTCATAGATGTTTTTATTTTCTATAATTATATTTATGCTCAGATTATGCGCAAATATTTTTTATTACCATGACCATGACCATGACCATCCGATTGTCAGGTGCTGGCTATTCCGAACCAAGCGACTCCATATCTACACTAATATTATAAAGAGGAAAACTTTGTTTGTTTGTTTAGTTGTAATGGATAGGCTCAAAAACTACTGGACCGATTTTAAAAATTCTTTTACCATTCGAAAGCTACATAACTCACGAGTAACATAGGCTAAATTTTATTTTGGAAAACAATAGGGTCCCGTAAAATATTTGGGATTTTCATAAGACGTGGAAAAGCGCCATCTATCGTCATTACTTAAAATCTTCTTGCGCCTGACAAAAAATTTTGAGGTACGTAAATATTCATGAAGGCAAAGCTGTCAAACGCCATCTATCGACATCATTAGTAAATTAGTAACTAAATATTACATGTATAGCCTGACCAGGAACATAAAAACCCTCGCCATGTTGCGGAAAACTAATGGTACTAATTTCTTTTAATGGCAACAGTAACTGAAAACTTCATTGTCATGTCACCTTGCATGTCAGTCTATTGCTGTCAAAGTGTAAACAAACTTTATTTTAAATGTGCGCAATTGATTTTGTGAATTAAATTGCTAAAATCTTTTTATAGTCGTGAAAGAAAAGTGGTTTACAATGTGTTAAAGTATTTGTCGAAGAGAAATACTAAGGGTTCGGACAATATTTTCATTGAATAATGTTTCCGACAAAGGTTGTCAAATTGACTGACATGTTTATCGCATAGTACAGTCCACTATGAAAATTAGCTGTGTGTTTGTTTCAACTACCTATTTTAAATTTTTTTGTCACTTTCTAAGTGTTGAATTTTATGGAATTGGGAAAGAAGTACCGAGTTTGAAGCGTTCATGAGCAAACATTGCAGTTGAATATTCAAGTTCTGAATTTGATTATTGATGAATAATAAAATAAATCCTACTAGCTCGATTGATGTACGCAGAACTGATGGCCGATGGGACAGAATGGTTCTGGAATGGAGGCCGCGTACCGGAAAACGTAGCGTGGGACTTCCACCTACAAGGTGGACCGACGACATCGTAAAGGTAGCAGGGAAGCGCTGGACGCAGGCCGCTTCCAATCGATCAACATGGAAAGCATTGGGGGACGCCTATGTTCAGCAGTGGACGTCCTATGGCTGAAATGGTGGTGGTGGTACATATACTGAAAATGTATCATTAGAAATCAACCACGGGGGCTAAGGAGATAAAAGGAGGGTTGGAAGTTTATATTATGAAAGTCCTATGTGGTTAAAGTAAGAGAGTTGAAATTAAAAATGTATGCGCTATAGATGCTAAGGGCGGATTTTACGAAACTCCACCCCTAATGGAGTAAAACGAGGTCCACGCGTACGAAGTCGCGGGCGGCCGCTAGTAATAAATAAAACGTTTATTGCCAGTAAAACCAAATATATAATAAGATCATATACAACTGTCGACAGCACGTTCAGCGGTTGCATGACGGAAGTCGGCCGCAGCTGCACTACCTACTGGTTTTATAAGATCAAATAAGATTTAAGTTTACTATGGAACGACTTCCAAGCGCCCATGGCCACTATGGCCAGTAGCCCTTGGAGCACCCTTGGAGCACTTATTAGGCTTGCTGGACTTCATGCAGCCGCTGCACTGCTGTCGACAGTTACATTTGGTCGCTCGTTTCGAAATAGCCATATTGAATTCAGTTAAGAAAATTATGTTTTTTCACCTTAGTAGGTTTTATGCCCTAGAATGTAGGTGCCCGTCTACAATAGTGAGAAGTCTTTAAATAAGATATTCGCCGTTTCAAAATTTAACACTTCTTACTTTACCTACTTATTTAATCTAATAAAACGAAACTGCTATTTTGATTTACAAGAATAGCATTATTGTTTCATCATTTGATAAAAACTACGTTATCAAACGAGCCTCCAACAAACAACAACTATCAAGACGTAAGGATGATGTAGGCCAGGAGACAGATAAATATTAGCTAGGTGTACCGTATCTACCTAATAATAATCTAGTTAGATTTTAACTATTATTAAAAAGTCCGTTTAAAATCGAAGTCTTTGTAATGAATGTTGATTCATTAACATGTGAACTTGGCTATCTTTTCATTGGGTAGGTCAGTCCTGGATTAGTCAATAGGCCGTATAGGCCTCGGCCTAGGGGCGGCAGCGTCCTAGGGGCGGCAGGTTTCAGATGACACTTACTCGATTTCAGAAGACAAAAGTTAAATAAAGATCCAACCCCACCCTAGCCTACAGGCGGCAAAACTGTAAATCCGGCACTGGGGTAGGTACTACTCATGCATGTTGAGAGACGTACTGCTTAAAGCGATTTTGTACTACCGTAGGTGTAGAATGAAAAGAGACTAAAAGAAAAAAACGTTTGAAATAAGTTTATATTAAAACGATTTTACGTTTAAATCAATCGTTTACTGCTTAAATCACACCGCAGTAATCGTGTGTTTTCCTTATCATAGTGTACAAATAGTACAAATACATCGCTAGCCCCAGGCGTATTACGCATAAAATATCGGTTGACCTTCGCACAGAGCAACAGCTTTCAGTCCGCCGGCGTCTCCGAGCCGTAGCGCCGTCATTCTTGTTTGAATACTTCATTTACACAGTCAACATGTCCCAGCAAGGCCCGGCCTTCGATGTCAACGCGATGACCCTCACCCGCTGGGTGCTGGCTCAACAAAGAACAGCACCAAGCGCCACTGGAGACCTGACGCAGCTTCTGAACTCCATACAGACCGCCGTGAAGGCCATACAGTCTGCTGTTAGGAAAGCCGGCATCGCTAAACTGTGAGTTATTATCTTGCTAGTTGTATGTGTTACACAATTTATGAGATTATAAAGGTACTACAACGTAGGACATTATTATGTTTCAAATGACGGTGTTCAAGTAATTTCCATTCAGATTACCTAACTACATTATACACATGCTGCACCTTACATCAGTCTGCCTTCAACGTAAGTATTTTAAAATAGGCGCTAAATCAAAGACAAGTCATACACTTTATCTTTAATTTATTATCTGATAGATACAATTGGTAAGGATTATTATTAAAAGTTGGATAAGAATACCATCGTTTAGCTTCGTCACCACACCTACGCAACACGACACACCCCCGTTTACGTAAATAGTAGGTAGGTAGGTAGGTATTATACGTCGCCAAACCAAATCACCAAAATAACAGGTCAAACAAGTAATTAACATAAACATTTTAGGTAAATATGCTTTCGATAATTTATGCCTTTACTGCTGCATAGCAACGTCTTAATAATTAAGAGCGAATGTTTGCGTAAATTATTATTATCATTATCATATTAATAATGTGTAGGCACAGTTTGATAACTAGCTTCAATGCTTCAACGTCTACAATACAAGAGTAGAGTACCTATATCCGTATAGTTAAGCTCAGAATAATAAGCTGGGTAGGTAGATGTACAATCATAAAAGATTCCACATTACGAATACATTCATCATGCTATGAACTTTGTCTATTATTTTTTCTTTTCAATACCTTGTAAAAACAAGGTTAACTGCGATAACCACACGTAAGCGTCATGATGATGATACATCGCTTGTTACATTCATACAGTAAATATTTACAAAAACCTAATTTTGGTACGTAAGTACAATAAAATAACTAGACAAGTAAATAAGTAGGTACTATATCTACTTCGGCCTTTTAGGTCCAATGACTTGTGGCGTGGTGCCCGATCACCTTGAATGTAATGAGTCGCAGAATCGTTTCCTAGTTGAAGATCCAGACACATTCGATGGCTATATTCAATCAAGATAATTGATATACCTACCATTTATCGATGTCTTTTCCCGAATCATAATAAACTCCTGCTGAGTTATTCGTCAAGTTCTGAATCGCGAGGCACCTTTTGCTCTTTTGCATTGTCTATTTTCATCATAAGCTACGAGACTCTTTCGGGAAAATCCGTTAGGTTTTAAATACAAAATCGTTACGTGGAAATCGTGGAAATCGTTAACTTTCCTTCATAAATTACATTTGAGTTAGTATTCTAACAGAAGGAAAGATATTTATGTACTCACTAAAAAGTTAGGTACCTAACATGATTGTTCCATTCCAGACATGGAATCTCAGGCAACACAAACGTGCAGGGCGAAGAGGTCAAGAAGCTGGACGTGCTCTCCAACGACCTCTTCATCAACATGCTCATGTCCTCCTTCACCACCTGCCTCCTCGTCTCTGAGGAGAACTCCTCCGTTATTCAGGTACAGACGTTAACAAACTAAATGGTTTATTCCAATTGAAGGGGTGAGTGGACAAAGGTTGTTATCTGTCAAAACTGAAGAATCGACATAGGTTTTAAGTGATGATAAAATCGACTAATGAGCTCAAAACACGCAATTTTGTTACGTGTCAAACCTTAACAAAGGTGTTATCTGACAAGCATTCATACATTTCAGGATTCAAATGTGGTATGAGAAGATTAACATTTTCAAACACTCATAGGTTTTGTTAGTTAAGACCTTTGTCCGCTCACCCCTTTGACGAAGTTAATGACCGCCCCCCACCCCCTCTTAAAACTGAATACAAGTTGCACAACAGATCAGTACAAAAAAAGTGAAAAAACTAATCGGCAAAGAGAGATGTAGAAAAACGATCTCGAAACTAAGTAAATCTGTGAGAGATGATGCCTAACTATGGCGTACCTACTTAACGCACTGTGTTTGAATACGAATATTATGAGGGTTCTTGACATGTTTACGTACGCACAGAACCTGGAGATTTACGTACCTATACAATGCCATGAAACTTTTTTAAGAATTTGTTCTGCATCTGCAGGTAGAAACAGAGAGACGCGGCAAGTACGTGGTGTGCTTCGACCCGCTGGACGGGTCCTCCAACATCGACTGCCTGGTCTCTGTGGGCTCCATCTTCGCCATCTACAAGTACGTAACTAACTAACAACCCACTTCAATTAGGTATGGTCGTAGAGTTATTTCATCAATATGGCCATAATCTGAACAAAAAAAACTTATAGAAAACATACTATCGATTTTTATAGTAAGTATAAATTAACTAAGGTACACCTGTTTACGAGCATACGATGTATATTGACCCGGACCTACAATGGATAACTGAAGTCTCTAGAAGTAAACATCGCAAGTTCGCCGCCTTCTGCTTATCAATCGCATTGGCTTATTAGTGACGCTAAGTCACTGTTTGTTTCTCTCTAGCAGACACAATAACGAGTAGATCACGTTTTATTACCTGCCGTATACAGCAGATTCCACGATAAGTCCTAATGGTGGCTTGACATATACAGGATGTCCCGAAATTAGCATGCCACGCTGACACTGGAATTAGATGGGCCTAAAATGCATCGCAGGCTTCGGTCTGTGTGACGTGCTAATTTTGAGTCCCCCTGTATGTCAAAGTTTAAAAAGCTGATTTTTATTATTCAACCTTTTCCATAAACCATTAGAAAGAAATCGGACGGCGAGCCGACCGAAGCAGACGCTCTGAAGCCCGGCAACCAGCTGGTAGCAGCAGGGTACGCGCTTTACGGCTCTGCCACCATGATGGTGCTATCCCTGGGCAAGGGCAAGGGCGTCAACGGGTTCATGTACGACCCTTCTATTGGGGAGTTCATACTGACGGACCCCAACATGAGGATACCGGAGAAGGGGAAGATCTACTCCTTGAATGAAGGTAGGAGGAAAAAATCATTTTGGCAACTCTATAAAACTATAATACCACTGAGCTTACGGTATTTTCCATCGCTGGTATCGATAGCCTATCCAAAGTTCCTTAATCGCTCATAAAAGCAAAATATCGACGTTATAGGCTTTATAATTATTGCCATACAAAATGTAGAGCGAGCTCCTGAACCAGCCTATTATCGAGAATTAAAGACGCGCCCCTTTAACTGTAGTTGTCATAGATAACTGCATAATTTACTGACCGATATCGATACCTCTGGGCTCAAAGGTCGTAAAGGACAAAATACCGAAAATGAGTTATTTATACAGTTTTACTCAGAATTTAATTCTCTATCGATCTGTATATTTAGTTTGTCGAAATTCCCAAAAAAAGTGCCTTTACGACCCATCATATTTGATAAGCTAAACAGAATTCATCGTGAAAATTGGGATGTAAATACCATTTGATTTTTTAGTGCAGTTACCATGGTAGTAAAGAACAAGTAAACACAAATTTTTGGGCGTATAATGTACATGTAGTATATCTATTGTCCTATACAACCTTACATTTTCATACCCAAGTCTAAATAATTTGTCCTTTACGCCCTTAGATTATCTAAACAAATATTTTAAAAATCTACACAGTGAGGATATTAAAATAACTGTGAAGGTAAATTTTATAGACGTTTCTTATAGTATTTAAGTATGTGCGTTTGGAACAAATGAAAGAACCTAAAAAATCATCAAAAATATATAATAAAACTATTTTAGAGTGTAACATTTATGTGATTTGTACATATAAAATGATGAAATCTACCCACATTGGGTAAAGTAATGTTGCTTTTTATTATTTCTCATATTTGAAGAAACTAGGTATTTGTCAGGTATACGATAATTATTAAAAGATGATTTAAGAAAATAAAAACATGCTATAAAATAACGTATTACCTAATTAAGTTAGGATAGTCATCATAAAAATTGAAAAAATGAAAAAGCTAGATTTGTTAAAAATATTATGAAAAAAAAGTCACCTTACTGTAGTACCTTAGGTGTCATTATTTTGTATGCACAAATCACACAAATACTACACTTTACAATTATTTTTTATGATTTCCTAGTAATTTTGACTAACGCCCTTGGTTAAAACCACTTTTGAGTTTTGACTGTTACAATTATAATAAATTAGTATAGTTTCAAAAGTTATTTGGATCAGCTAATAAAGGATAACTAGTAGGAAAAATATTTACACAACATGGGAAAATATATGTTGAGACTTAATCTACTAGAAAGCGTGAATGCAGTTTTTTTCGAAGTTATATTTTTATATTAAAAATAATTGGCTTTTAAAAACGGTATTATGTAGGAGTAAAGTAAGTGGATGTACTTTACTGGAATAAAAATCTTCCTACTTTTAATCTTACTTACCTAACTTTTCTACTTTTATACCAAGTAGGTACAATGACATAATTTTAAGCTACTATGAATTAATTATGTTTAATTTATTTAGAATTTAGAATAATAATTATTCTAAATTCTTATTAAATAATATAATAAATAATTAATATAGTTTGGTTTCGTTTGTCCTTAATAATTCTATTCTATCTGCATTATCATAAGGTCAACTGGTGGACAGACTGCCCTATGGAATGAAATCCGCTATTTGTAGTTTTTCGAAACAATAATAATGATTAAATAAATAAATAAAATTAATTTGGTTTCGGTTTTTCCTATAAAGTAGACATTTATGAAGTTTTATTTGAAAGCATCAAAATATTTATTTTCTAAATTAGCTTTTATATCGGAAATAGTTTCTTCTAGTTCGAAGATATCAAAACTTCTACTTATATAGTTTCATAAATTGTGTGCATTAAATTATGAAGCTACGGAAAATCATTTTATTTCATTTAAAAGACCATAATTCATTAAAAATATGTGAAGAAATGGTATATTACATATGAAATACCATAAAATATTAAATATTTAAGCTAAATCATCAATTTACCCTTTCATAATACCTTACCTGGGTGTCCCGTTACGACCCATGAAAACCTACAAAACTATGTAAATTGTCATTTATTACCTTAGTTTTGTAGTTTTGTGAAATAAAAATAGACTTACGTCCTGAGTAACTTGCCTAGGACGAATATTTGAGGGGCGTAAAGGTCTTTTTATTGAAATTTTGAGGGCGTAAAGGAAATCTATCTCAGTAAATACAGCTCTAGTCCAGTTTTTCAATACCTATTCGGAAAATGCTGTGAATTCTAAGCACTTTCTTCATAAGTCATAATTTAATAGCTCAAAAAACAAAAAAGTTATCGTCGAATAAAAAAATAAAAAATCGTTTTTTGCTTCTCCTGAAAAGTCGTACTTTGTCCTTTACGACCTTTGAGCCCAGAGGTATCGATATCTTATCTTGCTCGTTTATATTAACCTTGTCTCTCTAGGAACGTTACTATCATATCTATTAATTTAACCAGACCACGCATTCCTAACGCTGCAATTTCTTCTGCCCCAGGCTACGCGGCAGAGTGGGCTGACGGGCTCAAGAAGTACGTACAAGAGAAGAAACAGCCATCTACAGGCAAAGCATACGGCGCGCGTTATGTGGGCTCCATGGTGGCAGACGTGCACCGCACCATCAAGTATGGCGGCATCTTCATGTACCCCGCCACTAAGTCCGCACCTAATGGAAAGGTATGGATTTTGGGAATCAAAGGAAACCTCTGTCACCATTTAAAAAAATATTTTCATCAGACCAATAAATAGCCTTGAAGAGAATGCTGATGGGGTTAAGTCTGCCTTTGATACTTTTGTATTGTTGTGCAGTGTGCCTATAGTAAAGTAGACCAACGTTGTAAACGTTGTTGTTGTAAATAATAACATAAAATAAATACATATAAAATACAGTAATATGGCAACCCGCATCACCTAGTCCGTATTGCCATATTACAACTGCAATATTTAAAATGTCATGCAGCTGGTAACTACGAGTATTGCCGAAAATGGTTTAGAAGAATCATTTATACAAGACAAAAACTACAAATTCAAATAAAAATCGTAAACCGTACTTACATCTGCCATAATATTCCACAGCTCCGTCTGCTCTACGAGTGCAATCCCATGGCGTTCATCGTGACCGAAGCCGGTGGTCTGGCCAGCAACGGAACCATCCCGATCCTGGATATAGTGCCCACTTCCATCCACCAACGCGCGCCATGCTACCTGGGTTCTAAGAAAGATGTGGAGGAACTGCTTAAGTTCCTGAACTGATACGATGTTAAATTAAGATTTTGTGGTGCAGCATTAAAAGACTGATATCTAATCGATTTTTTCCCTTTTCTTATAATTTTCCAATAGCAATACTATTTTCACTTGTACCGTTATGCATTTAAATCTTGAATATTTTTGTCGCTGAACGATTTTTTTCTATAGCATTAAAATGCGGTATTTTTTTGTAACTTTTTTAAATTACTACCCATAAACATGAAAATAACTAACTTGAGTCACTATGATCCAACTGTTTCCAGTTATCGTCAAGATAACTTCAATGATAGTAGAACGATTTTAATCAGTATGTTTAAACGACGTTATAGGATTTGAATAATGAGAACCTGCTTTAAATAGAAACAAAAACTTAGCTCACAATTGTTTATTTACATAAAACGCGGGCATATAACTATCCTTAAATTAGAAACTTAAATTATGTTTATCATTTTTGATACTGAACTCCACAGTTGTTGATATTTTCTTAGGAACTCCATAAATAAAAATCTTGAAATTGTTGATAACTTGAAAATATCTTAGCAAGTCCTTGATGATGGAGGCATGTCTGTTATAATTAAATGCATATGTTTTAACCTTCTGTTGTATACAAGTGTTCCTAAAATAAAGTTAATCTTTCAAAGTAATAAGTTATTGCTAATAACGCATTGTCTGGCTGTAATGCTATCCAAACTCCAGGTTGGATGATTCTTGTCAAATACATATTGCCATAAATACCTTAAATTTTGTCTATGCACATAACATATTATTAGACTACCGATATTCAGCAATATAGTGGCAGCACTATACGTGCATATCATTCAGTTCTGTGTTGCCGAAAATTATGTTTGTCATTTTTGACCGACTAATCGATGCATCGATACTATTTTTCGGCAACACATCTCCGCAGACAATGTAACTTCGCTCTTGATCCAAAATAGGTGATAACTGATGCAAGATTTGATCAGTACTCAGTATTTATCCAAAACAGTGTGTGAGTATGACAGTGACATCGCTCACTCTAAAATTCCGTCTGTATTTTCGATTTTAGACATTCATATTTCCTTCTGGTTCATTTCATTGCGGGTCACAGGTGTTACAGTGGTGGGAACGAGAAGTGAGAATAGTCCCCTAGTTAGAAAAATATTGTAGAGTAGACTTGCTGATTGCGTGTCGTGGCATTTCTGCTTGGGGTAGCAAAATTCTGAAATGGATTCCAGGTACCTTCAAGCGCAGCTATGATGGATAGATGACCTTATAAAGTTAGCAGGATGCCGACCGCTTCCAATCAGCCAATCTGGTTATCATTGGGGGAGGCCTATGTTCAGCAGTAGACATAATGACTGATGATGATGATTACATCTCTTTAGACAGTTCCACGCGATCGTTACATTGTCTACCCCACCCCGTCCGGCGAGATGTCTCAGGCGGTGAGCGCAACAAACTGGTGGAACACGTCGAGGATGTGAGGGTCGAGGTCCTGCGTGAACAGCAGCGTCTCCAGGGTACTGCTGTACTTCTGCACTTGCTCGTGGTGCTGCGGACGAAATACACACCTGTTAATAATATAAATTAAGGCGAGAATGGCTCAACGGTGTCAGCGTTGGGCTGCCTATTTATCGAGAGGGCATCGAGGATTCCGCGCAGCACACACTCGAAGTGTGCCAAGCTTGGGTGGCAGAGCGCGAAATCCTCGTGGAACAGGTAGGACAAGATCTCTCCTTACGGGCCATCCTGCCTCGTATGCTAGAGAGCCCAGATGCATGGCATGCGGTGCTCCACTTCTGTGAGGAGGTCATGTCGCAGAAAGAAGCGGCGGAGAGGGAGCGAGAGGCCTCGCCTGACGCTCCACCGAACCGTCGCCGACGTCCAGGACACCGCAGGAGACACTACCATCTCCATGCCCCCTCTTAAGGGTCCTCGGCCACTAGACACGGGGGTGTTTGGTGGCCACTAGACACGGGGGTGTTTGGTGGCCGCTAAAGGAGGACCCGTGGCGGCGGCGCGCGCATGTGTTCACGCGCACCGTTAGCGAAGAACAGGGGTGGTACTACTCTCCTGAAGCCAGTCGTCGCTTGTTCTATCGGAGCGAGCCACAGTCTGGGGCGGAGCCGCGAAAGAATGTCTAGGCCGACTAGTTCGGGCAATAACTCGCAGCTCCGTCCCAAATACTTCGGGAGGACACCGTTAGGTTTTAGTGAGTAGGCCCTGCCCATCTGGCAGGGAGAGCCTCATATAACCCACTGGTTCCCCCGGGCCAGTGGGTATGCAATTTCATGCATTTCCTGACGAAAAAAATAATGGGCTGCCTATTTATACGATAGTAGAGTAACATTTGTTGATCTGATGATGATAATGAATGGGACCTACGCAGGTAAAGCCCAGTAATGATAGGTGCCCCAGTAATGATAGGTTACGCTTCTTAGGCCGGCTCCACGTTAGTCTCAACGCCACTCGTCCAACGTGTGGATCTAGAAACTATCTTGTCCTTACATTGGTGCCTGTACTACATATTTTGAGACGAATGGCACAAACGTTGGGGTCAACATGTGGAGCCGGCATTACACCCTAGCTCGGCCAGGATNGTAAGTCCTTTATGCGGTATAACCGGAAAACCGAAAAAATGCCTCTTTCGGGGGCCCCCACCACTTAAGCACAACTCCGTCGAAGTCGAAAACTTAGGAGAGTCTTAATGGGCAACCAATGAAGCCATTAAAACAATAAAATCTTTTGTAGGAATTATTTCCGATTTAAAAGCTAATTCTACTGGACTATTTAAGGAACTCATTTTTTTTTGTAAGTTGCTATTCTTTTGATTTTACGTCACTCGCACTCAGTCGCTCACTTAGTAATTCTTTAGCCCACATTAATTATTTTTGACACTTACAACATAAATTTACAGTCACTCGTTTAAATACTACCCAAATTAAATTATGGGCTAATGTACGATATTCAAGCCATGAATCTACGATTGAAAAAAAAGTGACTGGACTGGACTTTGACGTATAGTTGACAGCTACCATAGAGAAAAGTAATACATAGGAAATAGAGAACCCTCTCTGTCAAATTTTTGAGCCTACTAATTGACAGCCTGGTGTTAAATTCCCTGTACTTAACCTACGTACGTAACGCTCACATACATACATAGTACACGCACACATACATACATAAAGTCCACGCACACATACACACAGTTCACGCACACATAGGCCCTCATAACCTTCAAAGAATTATTGTTTTTATGATGTACAATGTAGAATTTTTTCAAATCCATTATTTTGAAAATATTTATCTTTATGGTGTACGTATTTTCAAAACAATGTATTTGGAAAAATTCTACATTGCACATGGAAATGCAAATAAGTAAACAAAAACTTTTGAATTTAATAATTTTACTTTATTTATGAACACACATAATATTATACACCAAAAGCGTCTTTTCGCAAAGTTTTCAACACTAAACACAGAACACAGCACATTGAGAAAACTCAGATCACTTGTGAACATAACAGAAAGTTTCTTCGCGATTCACGAAGGAACGAACAAAACTCCGATGAACCAGAACAGCAGCAGGTACGAAGGAATGAACTTGAATTTGACTCGACTCTTCAATACTTTAATAGGGCCACAGAACTCATAAACGATGGCTAAGAAAACAATAATGCATTCAATTCAACCTAACAAAAACAACACCGGCCATTTTGGAGGAAAAACAAAGTTGCCATATGTTAAATAGTAATTTCTACTACTCTATTATGTAAATTATAACAAAAATGTCAATGTTCAGTTTTAAATTAAAACAAATTAATTTCATTTAAAAAAAGTTTTCACATTGTAATTAACAATATTCTCAAATATATTTTAATTAAGAAAAAAATGAAAATATGAAGGAAACAGGAGCAGCGACATCTAGAGCGTTTTAGGGTAGTTAAAAAGTATTTGAATTTATTCACCGATGTCGCTGTTTGGAAGCAAGTTTCACTTCGATGACCGTTGTATGGAAGTTTCTTTTTTATATCAAATTAATTATAGTCCAGTCGTTTGGTACAAATTAACGTGGTTACCTGGAAAGTGTTCCGTGAGTTTTGAAAATTGGTGATTAAAATAGATTTCGCTATGCTCTCTGTTAGTCTGTTAGTTAAGTGTGATTGCCGCGCTCGTTGCGAAATTGGAAAAATGCTGCCTTAGAGAAGATTTTTGATAGTTACATTCTTTCCTATTTCGTCGTTCCAAATGACGTTCACTGCTGGACAAAGGCGAGAGGCCTTTGGGTTTTCCATAGGTTTTTCATAATGAACAGTCATGCGCTGCCCGCATTCAGGTTTTTCCCGCGACCTTTACCAGATCGTCGGTCCACCTAGTAGGAGGCCTGCCCACGCTACGTCTTCCAGCCCGTGGTCGCCACTCAAGAAATTTTCTGCCCCAATGGCCATCGTCTCTACGAGCTATGTGTCCCGCCCACTGCCACTTGATTTTAGCAATTCTGCGTGCTATGTCGGTCACTTTGGTTCTCCTGCGGATCTCCTCATTTCCGAATCGATCACGCAGGGAAACCCCGAGCATAGCCCGCTCCATTACCCTTTGGGTGACCTTGAGCCTTCTAATGAGGCCCATAGTAAGCGACCACGTTTCAGAACCTTAAACTTTCTTATTTATTTCACGACTAGCTTTTGCCTGCGGCTTCACCCGCGTGAAATTTAGTGTCACAGATCGACATAAATTATAGCCTATATGTTAATCTGGGTTACAAACAATAATATTGTACAGTTTCAACAAAATCCGTTGAGTACTTTTTGCGTGAAAGAGTAACAAACCTGAGACACAGGAATCTTCCTAGTTCAGGTATCAACCCACCAACATTCTTACGTGTGCATTCAGCGTGTCTTGCCATGATCAAAGAAAAAAGAACTCGCAATTTAGCAGGTACATTAATTTGACTGTTTCACAACTCTAAATCTATTTAACTTACATTACATGAAATTTATCACATTTATCAAAGCTTCTTAGCTTGTCTATGTCCCGAAAATTATAAAATGAAAAAAGTAGTTGTCAAAAACCTTTTTTAAGGCGGTTTTTTTTCAATAAGGCGGGCGCGCGCGCGGCTATAAACGAGGTCACAAAATTCGGAAAGAACATAGCGAAATCTATTTATTCACCAATTTTCAAAAATTCCGGAAAACTTTCCAAGTAAAATTCACAACAAAATAACTGGACTATTTACTCGTTATTGAGCACAGAGACACAAACTTGGTTATTTTTCCAGAAAATTTATATTTAAGTGCATAAATGTAAAAATGGCTTCATAGTGCACAAAATTGGCAATAGGTGGCATAATAATGGTTATTTTTATAGCGCCTAGTTTGAAATGTGATTGAACGATGACAACTAATAACAGTTGTCAGTTAGGTAAAATTTTATTTTAGTTNCGCCAGGGTCATGATGGACGGACGGCTCGGGACTCACCGCGAGGAACACCTGTCGCAGGCGGCCCACGGTGCTGCGGTACCAGTGTGTGTCGGGGTCGCGCGCGTCGGTGTCGCAGCGCACGAGATGTTCCGACAGGATCATGATGAAGCGCTGGAACACGATGAGGAACAGCCGCTTCTGGTCCATGTGAGCGGCTTCTAGACGCTCCTCCATACGCTCCACGGCCTGGGGACATTAGCGAGATATTATTTACTGGTGCCGTGCAATATGGTTGCGGGGAGTTTGATCCGAGCGTCAGTCGCAAAATTACATGTAGTGTACATGTGCAATCATGGAGGATTAGCGTGTACCGATAGCACTCGAACATTAGAAAGAGAGAAAGAAAGAAAGATCTGTTCCAATAATGGCACGGTAGCAAGAATCGAAATGTAAAGTAAAAAAGCTGTCACGATATGCACATTCAAAGCATCGCAGTATTACTAATTTTCGATACAAAAACACACTTCTCCCGCACCGCTCTACTACCATAGAGAGCTAATAAGTTTTGCGCTATGCTTTTGAAAGTCAAATCTGTATGCAATCGAAATTTCGTAGAATAAAATTGAGCATATTATTGTTACCTCTTCAGTGGGTTTGTCCTGGTCCTTCTTCTTCTTGCTGCCGCTCTCGTCCTCCGAGTCCGAACTGCTGGAGTCAGCCCTCGCCAATGCTTCTCTGGCTTCCTGCAACTCGCCACCTGGAAACAAATGTTTAAACATAAAATAATGACATCAGCTAATTAAGCAACTGATGGCCAATGGAGTTACAAGGTTCTGGAATCGAATGCAACGAACGTTCTGGAATGCAAGCACACACAGTGTATAGTCTGGTCCGTAAGCACGTAGAATTTTGTCCAAAGACCCCTAGGGGTCTTTGGACAAAAGCAAGCGAGCGAGCGAGCGAGCGATAAGGATGGGTAGCTAGCTACCCATCCTTATCGCTCGCGCGTAAATATGTTGCTATCGCTCCCGCACACTCACTGCGGGTGCCAGTCGCACAGACGCGACAGCAATATAATTACGCTCGAGCGATAAGGATGGGTAGCTAGGGGTCATTGGACAAAATTCTACGTGAGATCCTAGGGGGAATGGAACTATGTTCAGCAGTGAACTTACTCAATTTGGATACGTGCTTGTTCATCTTGTCAATGGTTAAATGCAGCACCTCCCACAGGCATCCGTGCGTGAAATACGACGCCATTTCTTTAGAGAACAGCCACGTGGCAACCGCGTTGCATTCCACGATTTGAGTCTTGAGCATCTTGTCCACTCACTCTCTAGATGCTAAGTTTGCAGTGATATACTTACTCAATTTAGAGACGTGCTTGGTCATCTTGTCAATAGTCAAATGCAGCACCTCCCACAGGCATCCATGGGTGAAATACGACGCCATTTCTTGAGAGAACAGCCACTTGGCGACCGCGCTGCACTCCACGATCTGAGTCTTGAGCAATCACTGTCTAGAGGCTAAGTTTACAATAATATACTCACTTAACTTGGAGACGTGTTTATTCATTTTATCGATGGTCAGATGCAGCACCTCCCACAAGCATCCATGGGTAAAATACGACGCCATTTCTTTAGAAAACAGCCACGTGGCGACCGCACTGCATTCAACGATTTGTGTCTTGAGCATCTTGTCCACAAGAACGCACACCATTTGCGGGTGACGTTGCCAAAGTTCCCACACGTTGCGGAGCACGCATATCTGGGCTTCCTCGGACTCTGCCAAGATCTGGGGAAGATGGAAGTTAGGTATAAGTACCGGTTAATGTCTCAACTGCCGATATAATAGATACAAGATAGTAGCCTGGTAAATAGAGTAATTGAAACCTCTAAGGGTGGATTCGACCAAACAAGATTAAAATATTAGTCTCAGAATAAACCGTCAGTTTTGACATATTTCCCATACCGAAACTGTCAATGTGTCAGTTATACCAGGAGTTATTCTCGGATAAAAGTTTGGTCGAATCGGGCCTAAATGAATTTAAAAAAGTTTCCCTTGGGATTGTGATTAATGGAAGGAGCCGCCCAATCACAAGTAAAAAATGAAAAATATATTGCTATAATAAACAATACAAAAAAAAATAGACTGGCCCCCACAATAAGCTAAGCATTGCCTGTGAGAGCAACAGGACTGCACGTATTACGGGTAATATTAGCGACTATATTAATTGATTAATATTCGTTATTAAGACATTTCTAAGGCTAATGGGTTCATTATCGTAGTCTAATATCTAACATGTCAGCAATTTTTATTAACGGTTCAACTGGGCCTGCCATATAGAAACCTTAATAAACAAACTAAGAGTTATCCTATCAAAATTCTATTACATCAAGAATAAAATACCGTATACAATTCTAAGAAACCTGTACCTATGTCTTGTGGAATCAATTATCTCGTATGGCATCACAAGCTATGGACGTACATATAAAACATACCTAGACAAAATATACTCCATACAACTCAGATTTTTAAAGTTAATAGTTCCTAAAAACATTAAACGCCTATTTGCAGATAATTATCACGAACTCTTTAAATACTGTAGAATAATACCAGTACATCAAAAAGTATACTATAGCTTGCTAACAGAACAATATANAATAACAGTTGTCAGTTAGGTAAAATTTTATTTTAGTTGGAAAAAGACAAAAAGTGGTAAATGGGTTAACGTGCGGGGGCTGCAAAATCATGTTGTGACGTCACGCGCGAATATTGGAAATTTTTGAAAATTTTAAAAAGTCCGTAATCTTCTCGAGGCTCTATCTTCGGTAATACTGGATGGATTGAGGTGAAACAAAAACTAGTGTAATGTGTGTGATCTAAACTTTAAATTAAGTCATAATTTAACTTAATATTACAACTTATGCGTGTTGTCCATTGAATTATCATCATCATCATTTCAGCCACGACAGGACGTCTACTGCTGAACATAGGCCTCCCCCAATGATTTCCTCATCGCCCGGTTGGTAGCGGCTTGCATCCAGCGCCTTCCAACTAAGCTACCTTTATGAGGTCGTGTGGTGTGAGGAAATAATTATGTAAGAATTGAATGCGGCGCTATCATTTTTATTAAATATTAATTGAACTACAAATAACATAACACAATGATAAAACTTACCCTTAACTACCTTAATATAAATTACTAAAACTATAACAAAACTTTCCTTTACTGACCAAACTATGCACTTATTACACATCGTACACAGAGTCATACTAGTTTACTAACTAAAATAAAATAAAAAAATATATATTTCTTAGGAACAAGTATAACTTGTATTACATAAACATGAAGACACCCTGTTGTAGGTACGTTGCAAAAAAATAAATAGCGGAACGCTCGACCCGAGTCGACGTAGTATCGCGTCGTGCGACTCACCTCCAGCTGGCAAATTTATTGATACCTACCGCCTTCCTATAATATAAATTTTTTATACTTATAAGCTATTGCGATGAATGTGCAATGTCACAACAAACATTTTTATGTTTAGTGATATAAGAAATGTTAGATTATAAGCCTAACCTTGTAATTAAATTAAATAAATAAATAAATAAATAAATTTTTTAGCGTGGCAGTCAGGTTGTTATTGTACAATATTAGCAACCGGTTGCTATGATTTGTAATAGAGATTCCATCTGCTTCAGGAAATACATGTAGAAGAGTTACCTAATCTGCTCAGGGTGGCACGTTATCCTGTGATGTATGAGTACCATGCCACTTTTGATTTGTCAGTGTTGCTTTTGAAACGTCTTCTACTGAAGTTCTCCAATGTATTCTCAGAAAATTTATTATCTCGTCTCAATTTAGTAACACATTAAACAGCCAAAAAACACCGTATAATAATCAGACTTTTATTATAATTCATTAATAATTATCATAGAAATAATTATTATAATAGTCACTTATCTTAATCATAATATTAATTATCATTTATACAAAACAACTTAGTACTTAGCAATATCACATTTCATACAAAATACTATCTTTCTATACATTAGCATTAATACTGGTACCATTTTTTTCCGCTCCCTCTTTACTTTTCTTCTTTTTGGCGCCCAATTCTTCTTGAATCTCAGAAAAAGTCTTGCCTTTAGTCTCAGGGACACAGAAGAGTATAAAAATGCAGAATATTACGCAGTTTACGCTAAAGAGCCAATACGTGGTGGGTGGTCCAAGGGCCGTGGAGACCATTGCGAAGTATTTGGTGGTTAAGAATACGAACACGATGGACATGATTGAGGATATGCAGAGACCGTAAGCTCGTGCTGGCCCGTCGAAGAGTTCGGCTGTTAGCGCCCAAATTAGGGAACCGATACCTGCGAAAACAAAAAGATTAATCACTAAAAGATACCTAAAGGTGCTTTATAAGGTGGTTATGTTTACTGTTCGAGAGGTTACGCCTTGTAGCCACTTAAATGAGCTACTTATTCGCCTAAGCATGCTCTAGTGGAGTCCACAGAGTAGGTACCTTAATTAAAGTGGAGACGCCTGAGCACTCAGGTCCAGGCTTAACTGAGCCGTCTCCACTTGAGCGGCTTGGCTACATGAGCTGGTCATTCACCTGAGCATGCTCAAAAGTAGATACAAGGCTTTAGAGATAGCCAGTTCCTTTGTGGTTAAGGATTCCGGGTTTTAGATACCTTCGGAATGCTTATAACGTTCCATTAGTAGGGAATGTAATGGAACCCACGGGCTTTCTTTTAAATTATGAGCTAAACCATATTTTAAGATTAGAAAATGTTCACAAACCTGCACTGTAGCAGAAAACTACCAGGATGAGGGAAATGAGAGGCAAGTAATTCAAGAATCCTGAAATCGGATAGCCGTTCTCCTGTAGTTTGAAGAATGCTCCAAGACCCACCTGAAAACAAATCAAAATATTAGTAAGCTGATGTTAGTCACAGAACTAAACACAATTCATAACGAAAGTATTAATCGAGACAAGAACAGTAAATGTATGATGGTACTGTCATAGTACCGACGGAAGATTCAAAAAGGTAAACAAGTTCTCGAATAGAAACCACAACACGGTAAACGTAAATTTAAGACGCCAATTGACTCGTTAGACCGACGATCTTTACAAATGTGCTATCGGGTGGATGCAAAAAGAGGGTGATTGTACTTTAAGATAATTCTTTAAGGTGATTCTACTCTCTCTTCTTCCTTGGACTCCAGCACTAAACTGCAGTGATGCCTGTATATACAGTGTGTCCGGGCATGTAGTGATCAAACTTTATGGGCCAAATCTAGGGACAATTTTATCGATAAAAATACTTTAAATTTGGGGCTTGACCCATTTATCGCAAAATTACAAGGATTTAAGTTTTTAATTTTTAGTTTTCACCTCTTCCTTCAACAACATGTGAAAGCGTGGGTAGCTTAACATTAATAAGCAAATATTTTATATCATGCGATAGCCAATAAAATTATCTATTAGCAAAAGTAGAAAACAGATACAAGTTTCATACATTTTAAGGGAGTAAGAATGGATTTAATTAGAAAAAAACATGACTTTTTTCATTTCTTTTTCAGTTATTTTTCAACACAAGAAAAACCAGGTCGTTAAGGTATGTTTTATTTGCATTGTATTATTANATCGAGAAGAACTACGCGTGCCAATAAAACATAATAAACTAACCAGAAAAGTAAAAGATAAAAAGGTCTCAACTATATCTGCTAAAAATACCTACGGTGCAAGAACCACTCAGTACATCGTTCCGAGACTGGTTAATCTACTGCCAACTGAAATAAAAGAAAAAATAAACACTAAAAATATAAAAATTATACTTAGGAAGTTCTTTTATAATAATAATTTATAATCAACATACCGTCGTGTTGCTAAATACTCATTAATCTAAATACTCATTAATCTACCTAATCTATAAATCAATCAAATGATAAAACTTACCCTTAACTACCTTAATATAAATTACTAAAACTATAACAAAACTTTCCTCTGACCAAACTATGCACTTAATTACACATCTTACACAGAGTCATACTAGTTTACTAACTAAAATAAAATAAAAAAAATATATAATATTTCTTTGGAACAAGTATAACTTGTATTACATAAACATGAAGACACCCTGTAGGTACGTTGCAAAAAATAACTAGCGGAACGCTCGACCCGAGTCGACGTAGTATCGCGTCGTGCGACTCACCTCCAGCTGGCAAATTTATTGATACCTACCGCCTTCCTATAATATAAATTTGTATACTTATAAGTTATTGCGATGAATGTGCAATGTCACAACAAACATTTTTATGTTTAGTGATATAAGAAATGTTAGATTATAAGCCTAACCTTGTAATTAAATTAAATAAATAAAAAATAAAAAATAAGACATCGGCTCACCAGCCAGCAGTAGCGCGGCGAGGCGGTGCGCGACGTGCGCCCGCAGCAGTCCCGCCGCCGCCGCCAGCTCGCTCGCGCCCGCCCAGCCGCGGCCCAGCTGCGCGCACCACTCCTCTGCGACATATTATGTTATACGTTATTACATTACATTATACAGTACAGTACTTACTAACAATCAGCAGGGAAACTCCGTAATGCCTTTAATGTAGTTTCGGGTCTCAACATAGATAGTAGTTAGGAACATTTACAATAAGGTAGTAGAGCTCAATGAGGGCTATCGTTTTAGCGCTCACCAGTTGGCGCCACTGTAGAGTAAGGTCCTGTCACTTGCTAGTAGCGAAGACAGTGGCGCCAGCTGGTGAGCGCGTGGCCATACCAGTGGTAGGAGGACTATCGCATTTG